CTAGATTTTTCTTCTTCAAATTGATAATCTTGAATTTTTGTTGTAGGGTTTTTTCCGTCTATAAATTGAACATGCTAATACAATGATACTTCTTTATTTAAGGAGAGCCTGGTGGGCAGTATAGTTTAGTTATCATAATGGCAGCAAAAGGAATTCTCTGCTTGCCTCTTCTCACACTAGTAACATTTTCACAGAATCAGAATGTTCGGGGATGGAAGGGACCTCTGCAGATCATTGAGTCCACCCCCCCTGCCCTGGGACAGGCTGCCCAGAGAGGCTGTGGAGTCTCCTTCTCTGGAGACTTTCCAGACCTGTCTGGATGCCTTTCTGAGTGACTGCCCTGGTTTTGGTCCTGCTCTGGCAGGGGGGTTGGACTCGATGATCTTTGGAGGTTCCTTCCATCCCCTGACATTCTGTGATTCTGTAGTCTATAGTTTTGACAAAATGGAAAGCTTGATGGTTCTCTCTCTACACAGATACTTTCCAGAGCAAAACTCTGCATTAACTACACATTTCCTGACTTGCAAACACCTCCCTGGCCAAAGGATTGGGTTTGATAGCTGAACTTTTTTGGAGCAGTGTGTTTTTTTCAACCTTCACTCTACTTCAGTTAGTATTTCATTTTTTTTTCTTTTTATCCCCATTCTGAAGATGCTAATAAGTAAAAATGGGAATAAAATAAAATATTCTGAGATGTCTGAGCATTTTTGTGCATGTGTGGATGTGACTTCTAGAAGAAAAGCCTAAATGAAATGTGGTGGGAAAACCAGAATTAAAGTGAGCTTGTAACTCTTGATTAAAGCGTGCATTATGGGAGTATATGAAAAACACAGAGGTTACACACAACTCAAATCATAGCCTGGTAACATGCTTTAGAAATAACTGACTAATGAATGTCTGGAATTGCTGCCAGACTTCTTTGAAGAGTCATGGAAAACTAGGAGAGAGATAAAACTTTGACATCTAGAACCAAGTTATAATTTCTCATACAAAGCAGAGGAGTTGCAAAAGAAAAAGCCTCTCGGTCTCCAAGACGAAGTGTTTGGTGGGGAAGCCCGAATGTGGCTGGCTGTTTGCTCCTGACAAATGCAGCAGCTCCTGGTGGAAGATGGATGAGCAGACCCTCCTGCAGTTCCCTTTGGCACCATTCCTGGCCTTGCATCTTGTACGGGTATTAAGAAAAGGTTGAGCATAAAGATTACAATTTTTGCCCTCCACTGCACCTTTTTCAGCTCTTCAGTATTCCTTGGTTGATTCAGCTGGTAACTGGTCATTTTATTACCCAGTCACTCAGTCCTCTATGGTCTTTTTGCAGGCCTTCATGGTCAGCCTGTAACATGTTGAGTTGCTGGGTTATGATCATCAGTCTTTGCCATTTTGCTTCTTGCTTCTCCTTCCCAGATACTTTGAACTATTTTGAAGATCCCGGATCTCAGCAGAACTTCGTGAGCACCTTCTTCCACCAAAGAACCGACTGTTTGTTCCTTTCCTCTACTTATTTATCCATGCAAAATTTTTCATCTTGTATGCCCCAGCAGCCTAGTTGCCCTCAGATCCTTTGGTGAAGGGTGTTTCAAAGCTGGCTTGGAAATCCAGTTAGAGTCCACCTTTTGCAGGTCACATCTTCCTTACCCACATGGGTTTTGACTCCTTTGGAGAGCTTGGATGGGTTCATGCTGTTCTAGTGTGAGGTGTCCCTGCTTATTGTAGGAGGGTTGGACTAGATGACCTTTAGAGGTCCCTTCTAACAATTCTATGATTCTGCAAAGCAGGAAGGGAGAAGTTGATAATTTTCCTTACTCTTACTAACTTGTCATGTGACTCATTGGTCTTTGTTTTGTCTGTTTACTCCCTAACTTTTTGTCTTTTCCACAAGATGATCTGAACTCAGAGGCTGTTTTTTTGTGCCCCCCTGCAAAGCATGGTGTCAACATGGGAATCCTTCCAGCTCCCTCCCTGGCATCTGCAGATACAATAAGTCTATTGAGCCATATCCTGGCCGACTCTTGCTTTTTATTTCCATATCATGTGTATACACTGTCTGGCAGGCTTCCTGCTCTTGTGAAGCCTGAAGAAGATAACCACTAGTTTTGCTAACTGTCACCCAAACTTTTCTGCCCTACGTTATCATATTTTTGGTCCCTGCTGAGCCTTTCATGTAGTGAGGGAGGTGACAGGAGCTCAGTGCTCCTCTGCCAGAGCCTGCGCATCCCCAGGCAGCAGTGCGTGGGCACAGAGACCATTCAATATTGGGTGATTTTGGCATATTTTGTATGTGGCATAAGCCCACAAAGCAGTGAAAAAGAAGATTTTTTACATGTGCTGGTTGCCAAGGTGCTGAGGGTGCCTTTGGGGAGGTTGATGTGGCATGCTGGGGAGGAGTGGAGCCCCATACTGTCTCTTTCCTGTCTTAAAATCAAAACTAAATTGGCTTCGACAAGGCAGCATTTGAGGAGATTATTTTTTTCATTGAGCTACAAGGGCAAAGGTGCTTTCAACTTTTGTTTATGCTAACTCTGCTTTGAATACTAGGCAGGATCAAAGCAAGAGGAGTCCTGTTTTAACAAGGCTAAGAAGTTAAATTTCCAATTGCAAATCAAACCCTAGTTAGAAAAGAAGTCATAGAATCACAGAATTGTTAGGGTTGGAAGGGCCCTTAAAGATTGTCTAGTTCCAACCTCCCTGCCATGAACTGGGACATCTCCTGCTAGACCAGGTTGCTTAGAGCCTCATCCAACCTGTCCTTCAACACTTCAGGGATGGGGCTTCCACCACCTCTCTGGGCAAGCTGGGCCAGTGTCTCACCATCCTCATGAAGAAGAACTTCTTCCTAATGTCTAATCTGAATCCACCCAACTCTAGTTTTGATCCACTCCCCCTAGTCCCTCACCAGCTCTCTTATATGCCCCCTTAAGATACTGGAAGCCCACAGTAAGGTCTTCTCAGAGCCTTCTTTTCTGCAGACTGAATAACCCAAACTCTCTCAGTCTGTCTTCATAAAAGAGGTGCTCCAGCCCTCTGATCATCCTCGTGGCCCTTCTTTGGACACATTCCAGCATGTCCATATCTTTCTTGTAATAGGGGCTCCAGAATTGGACACAGTGCTCCAGATCGGGTCACATGAGAGTGGAGTACAGGAGGACACCTGCCTCAACCTGCTGGTCACGCTGCCATCAAGTACAATAAAACTGCCCTGAACATTAATTTCTTCTCATAGCTTGTATTTGGAGGTTTGAGAGAGCTTTGGGGAATTTAAGGTCCCACTCAGCTGCTTACAGATAGGTCTTGTGGACTTTTCTATTTCCCTTTCTCATTTATATTCCATGGCTCAGAACATGGCTGAATAGCGCTAGTTTTCTTTGCTGAAAGTAGGGGGCTTCTCTGTGTCTGAAATACTCTTGAGTTTATTTGAATTGCATGGTGATGCATACACGGGGTCCCGTGATACAGTTTCTTCCTCCCGCTCCTCTTTCCTGGGGAAGCCTTTTCACCTCTAAACTGAAGTTGCAACATCTCTCAGATCGTGTGTCTGGGGCAATTTCTGCAGTTTCCCCCTTTGAGTGCCTGTTTTTTTCTTCCCCGCACATCATAAACCTTTTCAGATTTTTCAGTTTTCCATTTTATTATTAATTATATTTTCTGTGGCCCACAGTGCTTCTGACAGTTCCCTGATGGATATTATATGGTGGAGCATTACAGAGATGCTGCATGAAATAGCAATGATAAAGAAAATGAAGTTGGCCTTTGATTTGATTGTTATTTTTTTTGGTCAGATTCAGGGGCTTCTGTCCTAGGTTTCTACCCGCATTGCCAGTGGTGAAGTCTGCAGGACTTGGATTTGGTCCATCTGTGCAGGCACATGCTACAGTAAAAGCTTTATTGGACCATGTAGACATACCCTCTGATACAACTTCTCACCATCTCTGATCTAATGAACCCTGTAATCTTCTTTAACGGTAGCGGAAGGAATGATGTGGTTAAATTACCTCATTTGACAATCCATAATTAGCTGCTTGCTGTAGTTCATTCTGAAGATGGAGTTAGGAGCAGAGGAGTAATTTTGCATGTGTTTATTAAGGCCAGAAGAGAGTTTTAGCTCCTAGAAGGCTCAGGGCTGGAGGGCTAGTGTCTACTCCAGCTCTATTGCTTCAGCATCATGTAATGTTCATCCTATAAAGGATAAGTAGCTGCTCCTGGGCTTTGAGGGAATACAGAGACACCTGTAAATGGGAGCAGAGATTTGACAGCTCTTGAAACTGGGATGACACATCCACATAAAGAACTTGATCAGTCAAGTAAATGATACTTCTGCAAAGCTGTACTGCTAGGAAGTGAGGCCCTTCTAAGGGCAGGGGAAAAAAAAGGATTTCATAAAGGATGCTGAAACAGGGAGAGAGGCTTTGCATCATTTCTAGTTACCAAGAAGTTTCTGTAAGGGTGTTATTGCACACCTGGTTTGTGGTCTTTGAAAATTCAGATTTCATCTGGTCCAGAAGAATTTTGTAAGAGACAGAACTGTGGTTTTCATGGGGAAGGCTGTCCCGTGTCAGGACTGCACTGCTTTCAGCAGGGAGGGATTCAGGTCCAGATATAATGGAGATTTCCTGCTTTTTTGGGGTGATTTTGATGCAGGATGAGGACTTGTAGAGAAGTGCTTTCCTTCTCAAGTGCCTTAAAGCAGAAATTAAAGCAGTGACCAAGCAGAACATCTTCAGAGCTAAGAGGTAGATTTTGCTTTCTTTTTTTAGGGGGAAAAAGTGGAAATAAAGCACAGAGGACATGGTTTAAGGATGGATACTGTCATGGTGAATGGTTAACTGTGGAAGTTAGAGTTGTGGAAAAACATGCTAAGCGTGCTGACCAGAGAGCTTCATGGAGTTAACACTAATGCTAGAGGAATGTACCGGAGCTTCCTTGAAAGCTGAAAGTTTTCTACAGTGAATCAGGGGGAAGGAAGCCAAATAGAGAATAACTAACTAAAGTAACCTTTCTTTCCTCAGACGTGTCAAGTGTGCCAGATGATGCTGCCCAACCGGTGCAGTTACTGTGCCCACCAGAGGATTCATGCTCACAAGTCTCCGTACTGCTGCCCAGAGTGCGGAGCCGTCTGCCGCTCAGCCTATTTCCAGAGCCATGTGAAGGAGAACTGCCTGCATTACTCCCGAAAAGTTGCCTTCAGGTTTGTGTGGCATCTGAGGGTCCATGCTGAAATGGCAAGAGGGAATTTGAAATTGGGATTTAGATGTTTGGAAAAGTATCTCCCTTACAACAAAGGTGAAAGAGGACGTAGTCTAGGCCTGGCATGGTTTTCTGCGTGACAAGACACATTTGAAATGGGGAATTACTAAATGGATTTAAGAGCAGAAATTATTTTGAGGTAGCTTGAAGGTAAAAGACACTTTGTGGAATTCAAGTTGCAGGTGGGCATCTCAGGACTGTTAATTTACAGCAGCAAGATTGTAGCTCTTAATCCTCTAAATCTCTTTAAGGTTTGAACCTACGTTCATGTTGGTTATAATGGACCGAGGGAGGTGTGCCTTCATGAGAAGGGCATAGATTATTTTCCTGTATGCCCCTACATCTCTCCAAACACTTCCCACAAACTGAGACAGATGAAGGAAGGCTGCCAAGGCTCTGGATGCAGTGGTGTGTATGTGTGTGTGTGTTGTCTTTTCTCCAACCAAATGGATTGCTTTAATAAAACATTACTTTTCCCAACAAGCCTTTCCTCCTTGGAATGTTTAGATCACCTCAGCTGCAGCACAACTCTTAAGACACAGATTATTTGCTTGGGAGATGAAACTAGGTGACCTTTTAAGATTCCTTAAAGTTCTGGTTTTTCTCCAATTGCCATCAAATCCTTTGAAATGTAGAATGAACAGGGCAATTTCTGCTCTTGGAGCTGTTCTTTTAAGATGTCTGCAAATTTAGGAGTCCTCCACTGTGTGGTTTGTTCTGAAATCACACTGAGGTTTTCAAGGGCTTTTTCTTTCAACTGTGAAGATAAGAGACACATAACAAACTAATTCTGAATTTAATTGTATGCAGAATAGGGTTTTTTATGTGGGATCTGATTTGAAGGGGCACAGCCCACAAGAAAGAATTAATTTCATTGCAAATATAGTGGCTGTGATACTTGGGCTGTTAGAAAATGCATTAATCTGAGAGAAGGAGGAAAGCTGGAAAAAGAAATGTTTTCCCTGAGGTGGAAAAATGGGAATGGAATAGATGACAGAAAACTAACCGTGGGTTTGGAGCAGTTCTTTGGACTTCAGTGGTACCTGAGAATCCCAAATGCTGGTCCAGCTTCATCACACTGAGCTGGTTGTGCAGCATCCACTGCAAGAAGGATACTGAAGTGCTGCAGCAGGTCCAGAGGAGAGCAACAAGACTGGTGAAGGGACTAGAGGAAAAATCTTATAGGGAGATGCTGTGGGAGCTGGGCTTGTTTAGTCTGGAGAAGAGGAAATTCAGGGGGGACCTTACCACTCTTCAACTACCTGAAGGGAGGTTGTAGTTAGGTGAGGTTGGGCTCTTCTCCCAGGCAACTAGTGACAAGACAAGAGGTCCTGGCCTCAAGCTGCTCCAGATGAGGTTTAGGTTGGATATTAGGAAGTACTTCCTCATGGAGAAGGTGATCGGACATTGGAATTGACTGCCCAGGGAAGTGGTGGAGTCACCATCTCCGTATGTGTTCAAGGAAAGGCTGGAGGCGGCACTTAGTGGTGTGGTCTGGCTGATGTGGTGTTAGGTCATGGGCTGGACTTGATGATCTTAAAGGTCGTTTCCAGCCTTGATGATTCTGTGATCCCCATCCCCACTGATGCCTCCCTCAATCAGAGGTGTGCCACAGGGCTCCTCTGGCCTGAGCTGCAGTATATAGGAAGCTCAGTCTTTTAGCAGTGATCCAGTGCAAGCTCTTGGTCCTCTCTTTCCAACTGATGCGCTCATAGTGTACAGCAGAGCTTGGTCCTGACTCTCAAGTCTCCTGGTATTTTTTAAAAACATTGTTCATTCAAGATGTATTACAGTAATCTCTGTGATCCTTGTCAGCAACAAGAGCTTCCATCCATCTACAGATGTCATTAGCAAATAACTGCTTTCTGTGCCAGGGACATTAGTAAAGTTCTAAACCAAGACAGAGCTCAAGAATGATTCTTAGAGATTTTTTAGCATGTCTAGAAGATACATTTCTTTAACTTCTAGTTCACATCTGCTGAAGCTCATCTGTGAAAACTGAGTCCACCAGACAGGTTAACTTTTGGTTGTGCCATCCTTGTTATTCTGCCTGTCTGTTCTATAGGATTGATGTTATTGGCATTATTGAAAACAGAATAAATAAATCTTAGTTGCAGAACCAGACCTTGATAGATAATCCATGTCGTCTGCCCTATGGTCATGGAGTAACTTCTATTTTTGTTGCTTGAAGAGCTGAAAAGCTGAGGAGTTCTTTTAAATCCTTCCCAGGATCAGCTCAACTTTTGCTGCTTCTGACTATATCCCTGTTTTCCTTGAATTTCTGATGGCATAAGTTTGGTTTTATTTTTGGGATCAGTCCTTATTCTGTCTCCTTTTCTGCTAATACCTCAATGTATTCAAGTAAGTTTGGAGTAAAATTGTTTTATTTGAGTTTCAGTCATGCCTAGTGACTACACTGAAAATGAGAAAACTGTTCTGCAGTTAAAATCAACAAGCCTGTCCTAAATGCTCCTTTCCACTTGTCTCCAAGTGTCACCTCTTCCCACTGATTTAGGGCTCATTTTCCTGTATGCTGCCATCTGGAGATTGGAGGAGCTGGAAGGTGACACATAGGAAAAGTTTAGAGGATTAAGACAACATTTTGTAGCTTTATCTTATCTAGCAGGATGGTTTCCAAGACTTTTACACCACCCCTCCTTGCCCTGAGGCTATCCAAGAGTCTTCTCTTGCTGGGAAGATAATAGCATCCACTTTGTTCTGCTAATTAGTTTACTTTATCAAAGTTGGTCCTTCTGGCACTGGGATTCTTGATTACAAAGTGGCTGTTGTTTAAACTTCCATTTACTGTAAATTAAATAAAGTTGTGATCATTTGACCCTGAGTTAGTACTTATTTCATCCCTAATTCTAAATGAAGTGCTTACTGAAACCTGACATAATGCAGAATCAGCTCTTGGTAGGTCAAGGAGTGTTTGTAGAAGAAGCCAGTCGGATATTCCTGGATGTACCATCCAGACTTTACTGTCAGGATTAGCATTTGTTCTTCAGTTTATACTTGGGGAATTTATAACTCCATAATAATATGGTTCCTGGTATTATTATGATATTAGAAAGTCTCTTTCTGTATCTCATGAGAATGAGGCTCAGACTTGAAGGCAGAACTACCCAAGCAGAATGTTTTCATGCTTTCCCGAAGATGACACCAGCTGTTGTCATCACTTCCTAAATTGAAGAAAACAGTGTTTCTGTGTATATTCTAGGGGCAGAGGGTTTGGCTCCTCCAGGCTGGCTTCTGCCTAACAATCTTTTGAAGTGTAACTTCAAAGCACAGGCTTGTTTCCTAAACATTGTTGGGAGACTTTTTCAGAGGGAAGGATAATCCAGCGGCCTGTTTGGTTTTGAGACAGTCTTGGAGCTCTTCCAGTTGCTGAGTAGCTGGGGTCCATCTGCAACAGCACTGCCAAACACGCAGAGCCAGATAGCAGACCTCAGAAGGAAGGACAAAAGAGGTTTCTAAGGTGGCTGAACTCCAGGCTGGCCAGAGGAAGTAAGCCCTTTGTGTCTCTCACATTTCGCCAGCACAAACCTTGGCGCCCTGGGTTGCCCAGCTGAGCTTCTCAGCTGGAATGGTCTGTATGTGCAGTGTTGGCTTAAGGGGAGATCTGCTGTTAGTTATGTTGGTTGGATTTTCTCAGGAGAGGATGTTCTGCTCCCAGGTCAGCATAGGTGCTCCTCTGGGGATAGAAACCCTGGGGCTGGTGTGGCCGAGGCAGGGAGGGCAGGTGTCTTCATCCTCATGTGCCCCTGCAGTGCTAGTGTGTGGCTTTCCTCAGATCACAGCAGGCTGGGGAGGAGTATTAAAGTTAAATCTTGTAAGGCCTCTGGATGTTGGGGGAGTATCAGCAAGGCCTGTCACGGGCGTGCATTTGGAGGAGAGGCGGGCTGGGAACAGCAGGGTGACCCTGGCTCTCCTCCTGGCCTTGAGCCTATGTTTTCAGCAGCTGAGAAGAATCCTTTGCCTCTCAGGCCTCAGACAAGGACTTTGCCAGCAGTGCCTGTGTCTTAATGATATTAATGAGCTTGATCAGTTCCTTGGGTGTTTCTGTTGCTATTTGCAGTAGCTTTGTTGTTGCTATTATTGTTTTCTTAGTGCTTAGCGGAGTAGGAGAAGAAATTGTACAGGGTTACTGAAGGTTTCCTAGCTCAATATTCTTTTTCATTTGTACTTGGGACTAACTGGTGTAAATACAGCTGTTTATTGCTACCTGCAGATCTCATCAGATACTTTTACTTTAGCTCTTCACTTATACTTGCAGTTGAATTGGCTTTCACAAATACAGGCCTAGCATTTTGCTGAACCACATCTTCCTTTATTCTTTCTGGGTTGTTTTAGTCTCTGAGGGCTTATTTTATAGATCGTGTTTGCTTGTTGCCAACAGCTGTTTGTGAGACCTGGTCAGCTTGTGAATTCCTGTATTGTGTTCCTCCCTGACTCTGTTGCTGTTGAAGAGACCAGACAAGGGCCTGCTGTAGCCTGGTTCTTGCCTCCATCAGTGCCACTTTGCGTGTGTGTTGGAAGCAAGACTGTGGCTGCAACTTGGCCCCTTCTTTGTGTGTCCCCCAGGTGCATCCATTGTGGAGTTGTCCTCATGACTCTTGGCATGCTGAAAGTGCACATCCAGGAGAAACACTGTGAAGTCTTCCACAAATGTTCTTTTTGCCCGATGGCCTTCAAGTCAGCCGACAGCACCACAGCTCACATGACCAGCCAGCACCCACATGCATCGCACAAGACTACTCAGTAAGTATTTTGGGTTGATCTCAACTTCTCCTTTGCTGGGTAGCTCCAAGATTTCTCTTTTCCCTCCCAATTTTTTTCTGGTTTTGGTTTCTATCCTCACATGAGAAGATCTGCCACTTTGTCTGCCATGCAGACATGCTGCAGCATGTTCTCCTTGGTATAAAATCAGTCTCCTGAGCAGGAGGAGAGAAGTTCGGGCAGGGAGAAGCTGAACCTCTGTAAAAGGAACTTAATTGTCACCTCTTTGTATAGCAAGACCTATTCCTCTTGATGGAAGCTTTCAGGGCAACTGCTGCATCTGGCACTTGACAGGAGGAGGTGCAGGAGGAGGTGCTTCATGCAGCATTGACCCTCCAAAAATCACTGAAGAGAAACCTCCTAAGCACTCCATAGCTTTCCCCTCCAAGCCTTGAGCTAGCAAGGTGGGATTGAAAGTCATGTGTAGCGAGCCAGTATACTTGGAGTGTGCTCCCATCTGTCTGCACATACTGGCACACCCACAGGTTGGTAGTTATTCATATCCGTAGCAGTAATCTTATTTTTAGAAAGCTGTGGGATGTGCCTGAGGCATTTTGTTGTTCTTCTCAGTTGAGTTAGTTGTTTAGTTGTCCAGTAGGGTGAGTGTTGACAATACAATGAGAGCATAGCCCTCCTCAGAAGCCCATCCCTTTCTGAGGTTGCTAAGATAACTTTTTCCACTGTCTTCTTAAGATAAATGACAAAGAGAGACTGAGTTTATTATTTTTTAAATCGTTCCAGGGTCATCTACAAATGTTCTTGCGAGATGGTCTTTAACAGGAAGAAGCTGTTTCAAGAGCACTTCCATAAGAGCACCAAGAAGTTGCTAGTGGCAGTGTTTAAGTGCCCACAGTGTCAGCTGGTGTATATGCAGAAACAGCAGTTAATGCAGCATGTTAAGGTATGTAACTTTCACCAGTTACTGATAAAAGGTCCAATTTTTTAAATTCACAGTGAGTTCACATCAACTGTGGGAGGAAATTGCTTGGAATACATCAGTCTACAATGATTTGCAGTATCACAGAATCACAGAATGTCAGGGTTTGGAAGGAACCTCCAAAGATCATCGAGTCCAACTCCCCTGCCAGAGCAGGACCAAAACTAGGGCAGATCACTCAGAAAGGCATCCAGACAGGTCTGGAAAGTCTCCAGAGAAGGAGACTCCACAGCCTCTCTGGGCAGCCTGTCCCAGGGCTCTGTCACCCTCACAGCAAAGAAGTTCTTCCTTGTGTTCAGGTGGAACTTCCTGAGCTGGAGTTTGAATTCATTGCCCCTCGTCCTGTCACAGGGCACAAGTGACAAGAGCTTGTCCCTGCCTTCTTGATGTCCTCATGTATTTATAGTTATTAATTAGATCCCCCCCTCAGTCTTCTTCTCTCCAGACTGAACAGCCCCAGGTCTCTCAGCCCTTCCTCATCAGGCAGGTGTTCCAGTCCCTTCATCATCCTTGTAGCCTCTGTTGGACTCTCTCCAGCAGATCCCTGTCCCTCTTGAACTGGGGAGCCCAGAACTGGACACAACACTCCAAGTGAGGTCTCACCAGGGCCGAGTAGAGGGGGAGGAGAACCTCCCGTGATGTGCTGGAGACTCCTCTTAATTCACCCCAAGATACCATTGGCCTGCTTGGCCACAAGGGCACATTGTTGTCCCATGGGTAACATGTCCACCAGGACTCCAAGGTCCTTCTCCACAGAGCTGCTCTCTAGCAGATCATCTCCTAGCCTGTGATGTTACATTTTGTTATTCCTTACCAGGTGCAGGAGCTTCCTGTACTCTCTGGAAACATCAGTGGTGCATTTTCTGTTAGTTGGTGGTAATGCAGGCAGTTACTCTCATCTATATGTAATGTAACCTTATGACAAAGTGTTTTCTACAGGTAAATGTTTTTTATTTTTAACTGTTTGCTATTAAACTCAAGGAAGTGAATAACTAGGTCAGGAGCTTTATATTTGGTTGGAAGACAGGGAGGAGTAGTCTCTGCCCACAGTGATACACCAGAAAACTGAATCTCTGTCTCTTAGGTGCTCACTTACAGAGTTTTGGACCCTTTGCAGCTGCCTCCAGGGGAGGCTGGCTGGCGTTTCACATCCCATTGGTGGCTCCACTGGGCTGCAGAACCACTGCAGATTGCAAGAGGGGGGTGACAGAGGCAGAAGTGACTGCCCTGGAGGCACCAGACTTTGGGAGGTGGGACCCCTGCCTTCCTTGTCTCCATGCTAGCACCGCTCAGGCTCCCCCAGAAGATGTTCTGAAATGGATAGTTGTCTACAACCCCCAAAACTGGGGGAAATAGTGATGTGGAGAGTGCTTTGAACCTGCCCTTTGTCAGGAAAGGCATCTCATGGTCATTCATTGCCCTTTTAAACACATGCAAAGGGAGTTATTGTCCATTTGGTGGTGGTTCCTAGAGGGATGTGTGTGAAGACTTGTAGATCTGATTGTGCCCTAAATGTGTGAGCACCGTTTTGTTGTCTTAGTAGGTTTCTAAGCCCCGTGTCTAAGAACACTGCTGTGGAAATCCTCTTGGAAGGTTTTTTTTGTGGCACTCTGAAGAAGGAGCTTGCAAATTCTTACTGCCCTTTGATTGGAAAAAAGAAGTGAATGTTTTTGTTTGATCAGTGACTTTATTCTGTTCATACTTTAAAAGCAAGAATATTCATTAACTCAATGCCTAAAAGCAAAAAAACCCCAATCTTTGCTCTCTCCCTCATGCCTTTAACTTGCAAATCTGGAGATACTTTGCACACAGTAATGAATTACAATTTGAAGCCCTCCTGTGAAGTTGATGATTCCTAATCTTCCTGTATTATAGCTAGGAAAATAGAGTTGAGATTAAGGCTGGGACCTTCCAAGAGGCATTTAAGCCTAATGCTAATAGATGGGCTTGAGTTGAGGTACAACTCGTTGCAGTTTATTTGCAAATCCCACCCCAGGGATCTGCCTGCAGTAGCTTGTGCAGCAGCAGCATGACAGCTCCGCTACACAACTTCTGTCTTCTGGCAGTGAGGATGTATTGGGCCATCAGCAGGTCTTTGTGATGCTAATTGAAGGAGGCTTTTTGGCTGTAGTGGGGTAGGAATTGCAGTAACCCATCTCCTCTCCTGTCAGATCCTACTCCTTTATGCAATGAAGGGTTTACAGGAGGTGCTGTCTAAAGTGTGCCTGCGTGCAAAATAAAGAAACCGTGTGCCTCCTCATCTTCCCTGGCTTCCCATTGTTCAAGCTGAGGAGTGGGAGATGGAAGGTCTGTTTCCTGTTACCAATCCTGGAGAGCTGTCATTTTTCTGGGCTCATTTTTTCCCCTCCAGTGGTGTAATAACAGGAGAAATGGAGTAATGGGCACTAATGTACTCTTCCCTCAGCAAACACTCTTGAGATTGCCAGACTGGGAGAGAGGCGAACTGTTGGTGTTCCCCTAAATAGCTGGCAGTGCTGTAGAACAGCTGTCCCTGCCCTGCCATTGCATGAGAGAGCTTTTGTGGACATCAGGTGCAAAGAACACAGGCTTCTCAGAAGAAGCCTTGTGTTTTGCAGTTTGTTTGTTGTCTAACCCACAGAAATCCTTCCAAAGGCCTGGGGCCTTTATGGGTTGGAACTTTACCCATTATTAATTACTGAGCACAATTAAATGTCTAAATTATCCTTTTGTGTGCAGGAACTGTTTTTGTTCCTAGGGGAGTTTCTTGAGGTTTCTTTGGTATATTGCTATTTTACTTGCTTTTGCTTTCCCACAGCTCTTCATTTCTGGATTATTTTCCTTATGTTCAGTTTTCTTTGTTAAAATAACTTTTATTGGGACTTTGGATTTTGGCCTGTTGACCAACCAAAGAGTCTGGAGCCTTATTCCTTATAAGTCTAATTTCTGGCTTTATGCTGACTTTTATTTGTCAGGAGCAAAATCTGGAACTGTGAAAATATAAATAGCAATAGATGGGATGGAATTGAGGACAGAGGGGTTGGAGAAGCTGAGACACGGTGTTTACCCATCCCTTGAGCAAAGATGAAGCCACTTTGGAGCCCCCAGGATAACAGCAACCATTTCATTCAGAGCTTACCAGACTTCTGTGTTTTTAGAACTTAGGCTCTTGAAATAATGACGATTAACATTTCTCTTCCATGACGTATTCTGTGTTTAAACAGAGTTCTCAGAGCTCCTTCAAAATGTTAAACAGGCAGCACAGAGGAGCTGCTCTTGTCACACAGGAAACATAAATAGATACTTCATGTGTCTTGGGAAAAGGTCTTGCCAGTGCAGGAAGCTGCAAAGGGAAATGGGAAGATACATGTGAGCACATCAGCGACATAATGTTTTGGGAGGTGTGGGACTTAAATTATTTATTTAAATAATAAATGTTATTTATTTATAAATGAAAGTGTATTATGTAAGTTAGATATAAATGTTACGTGTGATTCTATTGTTATTCCATTGCTATTCAGGGTGTTCATGGAGTCCCCAACAATCCTGAGGAGCTCTCTGACTTTCAACAGAAATCTGAGAAGGCCTCAAGGAACAAGGCTCATACCCCACCAAAGGAGCTGTTGGTAGCAAATGGGACTTCCCACTCCCCTCTGCAGAGGAAGGACATGAGGATGGAAGGACACAATCCTGAAGCCAAGTCCAGACTGAGAACTGGTTGGACCTGCAAGGAATGTTCACAGTGGATCCCCGATCGGGAAACCTATGTGTCCCACATGAAGGGAAATCATGGAAGGGTAAGGACTCAGATGAAACACTTCAAGTAGGTGACAAGGTATATTTTAGCAAAGAAGTTTGATCATCATTAATATTTTGGGCAAAAAGAAACCAAGAATCTGTTTGCCAGCTCAGTAAGGGTCAGAAAGCTTAGGGTCAGAACAAAAAACAGTTACGTAGCCTGTTGTAAGTACACTTTCTGTCCTTGATCTCTACAACCTGCATACCTCATCCTCTTTGGTATTCCTTCTCCCACTACATCTAATGTCAGGCTTCCTCTTTGGCTTATCTGGGTAAGTGAATGGAAAGTTGTGTCTTCTCCAGTTGCTGGTTCAACTGTCTGATCTAAACTATCTACACTCAAAGTTATAGGACATACAGTTTTTCTACAGGATGTGTTATTTGGTAGATATCACTACATGTAACTGGGGAAGAGTAACAGACTCATGTGGTGTGCAGAGCTATCGTTTTAAGAAATGTACATCTCCATTGTGTTGGTTTCATCCAGCTCAAGCCTTGTGTTGCCTTGACCTGCTTCTGTCAAGCTAATCCTTGCTGGCTGGCAGAACCTAGGCCAATAAGTTGTGTGCAGCCAGATCTCTTAGCACGTTGGCATCAGGACTTTTTGTTTGACGTACTGAGTCACCCTTCTCAAGTCCCATGAGCAGAGGCTGTAGAAGTCTGTATCATGGTCTTTGACTCCTTCTAGCTTGACTTGGGGAGTGCTGGATTGTCCCACTTGATAAGTATCAAGAAAAGAAGATGGGGGCATGGTGAGAATGCTGTATTTTCCCATTTGAATTTGATAGAAGTAGGAAGTTTGCCAAATATTTCCTTTCAATACGTATATGTATTCATTGAACAAGTCTGAGGTCATATATGGATCACAAGCTGGACTGTGTGACTCTCTAACATCTTACGCTTTTGTTGTGCTGAATTATGAGGAGCAAGAAGGGGAAGTGGGGATGGGACTTGTGCTTCATGCTGGGGTCCTGCCTTCTTCTGGGGCAGAAGAGATCTTCCACTGAATTCATTCTGCAGAGTCCTGTAGTGAAATGAGCCCACAGGAGAAGCAGCTAGTGCAATTCCTATTTAAAAAAATAAATAAATAACCAAGCATGTGCTTTAAATGCTCGTGGTTTTTATAGGAGTAGTGCAGGTATTGGTCAACTGTTTGTCAGAGTATAAATGGGACCTTAGTGATCTAAATCAATGAAAGAGGGATTTTTTTGCAGCTGAAAGGTAAGGTCCAGATGAAGAGCATGGGAATGTTAGAATCCAGTCAGAACCTTCCACCTCTCTGTTATTAAAAGCTATTTCTGTTCCTCTGCTAGTCTCTGAAGAGATACCCCTGTCGACAGTGTGAACGCTCATTTGATGCCTCCAACAGTCTGCGCAGACACATCCGCAATAACCACGACACAGCAAAGATAGTTTATACTTGTTGGTATGTACCAGACACCCCTTCTCCAATCTGTTTTCGACAACAGGCTAATCCTGCAAGTTTGGAAGCCCTTCATAATAAATCGTGTCTGCTTCTATCTGCTCCAGGCCACTGAGGGAGAGTGAGAAGAATGTGTTAAACACAAGAGACTTGGTGGCTAAAATCATAGAATTATAGAATCATGAAATGGTTTGGGTTGGAAAGGACCTTAAAGATCATCTAGTTCCAACCCCCTCCATGGGCAGGGACACCTCTTGCTAGGTCAGGTTGCTCAAAGCCCCATCCAACCTGCCCTTGAATACCTCCAGGGATGGGGCAGCCACAACCTCCCTGGGCACCCTGTTCCAGCTTCTCTCCACTCTCACAGGAAAGAACTTTTTCCTAATGTCCAATGTGAATCTCCGCTCTTTAAGCTTCAAACCATTGCCCCATGTCCTCTCACTACACACCCTTGTAAAAAGTCCTACCCCAGCTTTCTTGTAGGCCCCCTTCAGCTATTGGAAAGTTGCTATAAGGTCACCACAGAGCCCCCTCTTCTCTAGGCTGAACAACCCCAACCTCCTCAGCCTGTCTTCACAGGGGAGGTGCTCCAGCCCTCTGAGCATCTTTGTGGCCTCCTGTGGACATGCTCAAGGAGTTCTATGTCCTTCTTATTTTGGGGACTCCAGAACTGGACACAGTACTCCGGGTGGGGTCTTACCAGAGTGGAGAATAGTACAATATAGTCCTTGATTAGTACAAAATAAAAATAATACAAAATAAGAATAGTACAAAAGAAGTCCTTGCTCTTAACTGCACATTGCTCTTTGGCACCTGAGGGCAAGGTTTGATTTCAGCTCAGCAGGTGCAAAATGACAATTATATGGCGCACCCTTGTGGAACAGCCAATGAAACATTGGGCTAATCTATCAGTGCTTCATGGTTGGTGTAGTTATGCATCATCCTCGTGCCTTCCCCTTGGAAAAAAAACAATGGTACAAAAGGTGTGTAAAATCCTATTGACCCAGGGCACTAGGTGTTGCTGTCATGTTACACAGGCACAACTGACTGCACAAGCTGCAGGGCAATGGAGAATTAGATCTGCTGAATGTGCTTGGGAAGATGTACAACAAAGTTAGGAATGGGATTTGGAGACTTCAGACAAGCTAGGTAGATCAGCATTGAATGCAAATGATTGCTGGCAAACGTATTTTAGCTGTGAATACAGTCTCAGTTCAGGACAAAGCCCATTGCTTACAAAAATGCCTCTAGAATGGCTGCATTCTAATCTGCAGAAGTTGCATGCTGAGTGACTGTGCAGACTTGCTCCCTGACTCATTTTGAGACATCCTTCTGAAACAGAATCAAAGCACATGTGTGTTGGAAGGGAAGTTTGCAGTTATGTAGGTTGGGGGATTTTTTTTAGGTAGCTGGAATCTGGGTTTGAAGCAAGTGTTTCTGAAGAGCATGTTGTCACTTTACTGCACTTCACTTACGAAAAGCCTGTCTTGAAGAGTATCATCCCTTGTGTACTTTATTTCTTTGGACTGCCTAGTGAGCCACAATAGCTTTTAGTAAATGGATAAAGGTGATGGATATTTGCACCACCATTGGGGCCTGATAGGAATACCTTCCTGTCACATTTTTCAGCCAGGACTTCTCAACTTCCCGTTACTTGTAACAGCACTTTGACTTGGAACCTCTGGCTCCCAGCATGTTTCATTCTGCTTTAGGTTTGTGAGTGATGGTCTTTGGAGTTACATGCACCTGATTTGTATAAATCTATTTGCTCTGGATCAGTTTTTTTCAAAGTCGAGCATTATCAAAGTAAACATGAGGTGTAGCTGGGAAAAAGGATTTGATTAGAAATACCTGACAAGCCAGCCAGGGACGTGCCAGCCTGCTATGTTCACCAGCTTGTGCAAGCCCTGGAGTCCAGTTTTGCTGTTATTTTTCAGGATGACACAGAATCACCAAGGCTGGAAAAGACCTTCAAGATTTAAGTCCAGCCTGTGACCTAACACCACCACATCAGCCAGACCATGGCACTAAGTGCCACATCCAGCCTTTCTTTGAACACCTCCAGTAACGGTGCCTTCACCACCTCCCTGGGCAGTCCATTCCAATGTCTGATCACCCTCTCCAGCAGAGAAGACATAGCTAGAAATTCAAGTGAATTGTGGTTATTTTAAAATCCCAAGCTTGTAGTTGCTCCTTCTCAAAATCTGGGGATGAAGTCTTCATTGGGCAGTAGTTGTGCTGTCTTTCATCATTGTAGTGAGAGGTTTTCTGAAATCACAGCAGGAAACCTCTTCGTTAAATACTTGTCCCAGCATCTCCAACAGCTGCTCTTTGTTTGGATCCAAGGTGTTCTCTTCAGTCTCACCTCTGATTCCTCTTTAGTTTGTCCAGAGCACTGTTCTAAAAATCACCTCTGTGACTGCTGCTTGCACATCCTTCTGGCTCTTTGAGTTCTTCCTCAGCTTCCTTCTGTGCTCTCTAAGGCATCACATTGCTTCTGCTCCTTTTCTTTTCCCTTGGTTGCTGGTGTCCGTTTTCCTTCTTCCCACTAGGCAGTTTGGCTCAGTCTCACCTTTTCTTCCCTTCAGGGGAATATTAAGCTGAATATTACTCCCTTTTGATGCCTTAACTTCATGTCACCCTCTTCTCCTGCATCTCCATGTTAAGTATGAGTAAAATTTGTCATTGATCTGACAATGGAGTATTTTTGTGACTCCAGCATGCTGTCTTGTAGCTGACCTCGCTCTTTCTTCTAACATATCAGGCTGTGATTTCCCCTTCTTCTCCTGCCCTGCTTAGGTCTCTGCCTTCTGTTAAATGTATAGGGAGAAACCAGTGATGGAGGACTTGCTTGAACATCTTCCTGCCACTGAAATAATTCAGGTTAGGAAAGCATCTTTCCCTCCTCACATGAAAGAAACTCTAAATTAGGACAAATTGTAAAATATTCTGATATTTTATATATTTTCTTTCATAATCCACTTGGTTATTGTTATGAGAACTTGCTCTTATTTTCCAAGTCTTGGGTACAAATTGACTAGAACACTTGATTTTCAACTTTTTTTTTTTTTTAAATAAATACCATTATAATAACCTCTGACCTTTCCTCCACGAGGGAGAAAAAAATCCATCATTATTAAATACTGATTTATAATCTATGAGGTTCCTGTTCCAAACCAGTAGTATTTGATGATCACATTTGCATTTTCACATCCTTACTAACTGTTTAATTCCTATCTAGCTGCTGGAAGATCAGTAGAAAACATCTCTCCTTTTCAAAGATTTATTTGTTGCCCAGAGACACTTCATCTCCCCTCTGTTGGTTTTTCATCCCTTGCTGTCTGCATTTCAGCTGCAGTTTGTGCATTTCAGAGAAGTCTGGTGTTACTTGCCTCATTGCTGGGTTCGATGTGTAGCTGTTGGACCTTCCCTGTGTCACTCTGGCGGGCAGCAGCAGGACAGAGTCAATCCTGGGTTTCCCAATGGCTAATGGAGACCTCTGTGTCCTTCCCCATGCTGCAGAGGGGGGGTTTAGGTGCCTGCAAGACTTGTCTCCAGCTCTTGAATCCTACCGAGCTTTAACATGAACAATTACATATAAATGATGTGTTCTTGAGTGCTTCTGCTTAGGTCAGCAGGAGCAGGGCAGGGCAGGGATTGTACCTCTGTGCTCGGCACTGGTGAGGCCTTACCTTGAATCCTGGGTTCAGTTTTGGGCCTCCCCACTACAAGAAGGACATTGAAGGGCTAGAGCAAATCCAGAGAAGGGTAATAGAGCCAGGGGAAGGTCTGGAGAATACACCTTATGAGGATCATTTAAGGGAACTTGGAGTGTTCAGCCTGGAGAAAAAGGAGGCTGAGGGGAGACCTTCCTGCTCTACAACTGCCTGAAAGGAGGGAATAGATTCAAGTTGAGCCAGGGGAGGTTTAGGTTGGATATCAGGAAAAAAATCTCTACTGAAGGAGTGATCAAACTTTGGCACAGGCTGTGCAGGAAAATGGTGGGGTCACCGTCCCTGGAGGTGTGCAAAAAACATGTAGATGTGGCACTATGGGACATGGTTTAGTTGGCATGGTGGTGTTGGGTTGCACTTGGTGATCTTAAGAGGTTTTTTCCAACCTTTATGATCCCATGATTCTACAATTCTAGGTTATTGTTATTAAAGTTGGACATTCAGCAGTTTTGTGAGAATTTTGTGTTATGATGCAGAGCCTTGTGGATGAGGTGCTGCATGGTTGCTTGGGAGCACTGGGTGCAGAACCCTATTCTGCAGACCTCCTCAGTGTTACACAAATCACAAGGTCCCTCTGTGTGTTCGTCTCTCACCTCAGAGGTTTTTTTCTCCCACGCATTTTCCATTTTGATTATATAGCTTGTGCTTGTGGAAAATGTAGCACAGGGGCCTGATCTCCACTAGTCCCTGTATTTGGGTCGTCTGTGCTGTGAGATGTGTCCTACTCTCTTACCTCACACTTACTGTGGTAAATTCTAAAATGTTTGATATTTCTCCCAGGGGTAGTATTTTATTACTAAAACTATGATTTGCTGCATATTTTGGTAATCTAGTAGTACATTGTCACCAGCATCTATCTTCAGTGACACCTATTAGCTTGGCACATAACAAAGAGCTGCTTGGATAGAAACAAACGACTGGGCATTTCCTCTACTAAATTTGCTTCCTTTTTGTGTTTCCAAGGTACTGCACAGATGAAAATCAGACATTTCCTCAGCCGTTCATGCTGGAAAATCACATCAGCCTCGTGCATGGCATCAGAAACCCAGACTTATCCCAGATGGCCCAAGCAGAAGCTCCAGAGAGAGACACAGCAGAAGTAACTCATATATTTTCATTGAAAAATAAATGTATCCAGCAAGTAGCTGTTCACTCAGGGTATTAATGTTGAGCTGCAGCCTTGCAGCAGTCAAGCCCTCTCATCCATATGGCAGATTTCCTTCCCCTCCTCTCAGGTCCATCCAGTTTGCTTCTTTCTGGCTGTGGCAGGATCAGAAATGAAAGCATAGCTGAGCTGCAGCAATGTGTCTTGCATTTTTCAAGATAGTCTTCAACCTGTGGCCCGGTTTTACTGGTCTTTTTTCAGTCTATTTTGCAACCAAGTCTAATTTAGGTTTGTTTTTGCCCTTGTTTTTCCCTGCTCTCTGTTCATGAGCCTGGTGCATTTTTCCTTTTTCTCCCAGTTGTTTTTTTTTTGCTAGTTACAACAGATTTCTGTTTTAAAGTACTTGTTAGATTTATTACCTACAAGAACTGTGTTCCTCCTAGATAGGACTGCATAGTTTGTTTCTAAATGTAACTGTTATTGTATTTTGGGTTGGTTTGAAGTGGAGAGTTAGCTGATTTGGCTTCTTTGCTCCATTTACCTAAAAACAGATGCACATTTTCCGTGTATCACTGCCATTTATCATTTGTTTGTACCCCAGCACTGAGGGGTTGCAGCAAGGACTGACTGCCCTCTGGATTTATGCCGTAAGGAAACCTGGGGTAACTTGGGAATTCACTTGCATGAGCTGGTGGCTGCCTCCCCCAAGCAGAGCTGACCTAGCAGGGCACCCAGCTAAAAGGGGCAGATTGTGGCTTCAGGTGGCTCCGGCCAGGTCTGAAAATACCACCCTATAGGCTGTATCCTAAACAAAGACCACTCAGTGCTACTGGATAAGGAGATCACAAAGTCACCTGAAGGGATGTATGCAAGTGAGCCATCCTCACAGGAGGAGAAGCACACTATGGGGATATGAGAGGGATGAGTTCATGAGATGCAATGAAGAAGAAAACTGAGTGGAAGGGAAAACATTCAGAGTTAATTCTGAGAAGCATTGTCTGGGCTAATGACGAGCCCCATGTCTCTCAGCTGTCCCTGCTCTGTGGGCTCCTCCTTCCCACACCAAGTTCACATACTCTTGGCCCATCATATGTCTGCCCAGGTCTCCCATCCTGCCATCAGTGTGAGGTGTTTGGATATGGATAGGAAAGGCACCACACCCAGGGTCCCTTGGTGTGGCTTTGTGTAGGTTGTACCAAAAGACATATGTGTGGTCACCCTCAGGTGTCTTCATCTGCGTGTGGAAGTTAGCACTTTATCTTCCATGGGCTCATAACTTTTTAATAACTTTTTTTTTTTTTTTTTTTTTTTTTTTTTTTTTAAGGCAAAATCTCCAAAGAGGATGGCAATGGACGAGCTGGGTCAGGCAGAGACCACGGTGGGTTCAGATGAGCCACCAGCTAAAAAACTGAAAGCACCTTGGAAATGTGCGAAATGCGGCTTCGCAACGGACATCAGGACGGAGTTCCAGGAGCACATACCTGGGCACAAGACAGACAGCTCCACCTATCAGTGCTTGCTCTGTGGTTTGTGCTACACCTCTCACCTCTCTCTGAACAGACACCTCTTCATTGTTCATAAAATAAAAAATGAGGAGGAGGAGGAGGAAGAGGAGGAGGATGATGAAAGGGAGAAGTTTCAAAGGGAGACGAGTGAAAATGGACACAAGGGGTATAATGGTGAGATGAACACTACAGTGGAAAAAGAAAACCTGAAATGCAAAGAGTATAAAAGTGACTCAGCTCTTTGTGAAAACAGTCAGACGTGTGGCATGGAGGATCCTCATAGCACCTCACAGAACAATAATTTGAAGTCTTTTAAGACTTAAAAACAAAACCCCCCTTTTGGTCAGTCAGGGGTTTTTTGTTGCGTTTTTTTTTTAAATCAAAATATGGGGCGGGGATGGGGCAAATCTTTGAACTATTCTGTTGATTTCTTGGGATGGACATTGCTTTCCGTTAACTTCTATTTGTAAGGGAAATTTAAAAAAGAAAAAACCAAACCCTGCTATTGCATCCTACACACTAATTCTCTGCCAGACCAGAGGAGTGAAAAGGGAAAGCGGGGCATAAATCCTTGCTGGAACATGTCCAACTCCTGAGGATCAAGGAGCACTTTCTGCAGCTGCAGTTTCCTTAAGATGAGCTCTGGAGCTCTCTTGGAGTGTGCACTGCCTCAGCCGCAGCCCAGAGCCTCAGCCTTGCCTTCCCTATCTCACTTTCTCCTCCTATTTACGGCTTCCTTTTTCTCTTTCCATTCTGCCTTTGTTTTACTTATTTTAACTCTTTAACAATGTCTCAACAGGACACACTTGTCAGGATCGTGCTGGCCCATCTGAGATCTTCTGTGTTAGCATGGAATGGGTTCAAGCTGTTAAGTTACACTGATTTTTTTCTTGAATTGCCTGTATAACCACCTTATTTTCTAAAAGGCAATTTAAGGAAGTGTCTTGAACCTGAGTAATTCTGAAGGAGAACTTTGTAGCCCCTGTCCCCTGTGGTGAGCACAGCTCACAGCCTGGTGCCCCCCTGGGGCCTCGCTGGCTGGAGTGGAGCTGCTGGAGCTGCCCCTGGGCGGGCAGGGCCGGGCCGGGCGCTCGGTGCCTCATTCCGCTGGGCAGGACGTTGGCACCACCCCCAGGAGGGGGAAACATCCCCCGGCCCGAACGTGCTGTTGGCTGGAGGGAAACGTCCCGGCTCTGCTGCCGGGGCTCCCGGGGCTCCCGCTCCTCCCAGCGCGGCTCCCCCGTGTCCCCGCACGAGGGGACCCTGACCCCTCCCGCGTCCCCTCGCACAAACTGCTACGTGTAATATAATTCTCTACCATTATTTTTTATTCCGTTGAGCCAGAACCCTACTCGTTATTGTTTACTATGATGATGTTTAAATAATTTAAGAACTATTTATC